TTTTCTGCTGCGCACCCACCCATTATCCAACACCACCAACGCACAGCACCTGGACACCTGCTCAGTGTGCAGGCCTGGGCCATGTGGTCTTGGCAACGCATTTATGATTGACGTAGCCCAGTCCTACCCTCATCAGCTCACAGTCCAGAGGACCACGCAGGCCTATCCTCAGACAGTGAAGACCCAGAGTGGACAGGACTAGAATAAAGAAGCCCAAAGGAAACGCCCAGTCCAGCCTAGGGGGAACAGGAAGGTTTCCAGAAAGGCAGCCCAGGAAAGACCCTATGATGTTGAATTAAATAGGCCCCGTAGAGATGACATTTGAGGGACAGCTAGGGGGCCAGTGTGGAGGATGTGGGGACAGGGGAGATGATACAGAGCTCAGTGAACTGGCATGAAAACTGGGGCCTCTACCCTTAGTGAGACCGAGCTGCTGGCTGGTTCTGAGCAGATGGGAGACAGGACCTGGCTTGGGTTTTCACAAGATCCCTGTCTGCTACCAAGTAGACCACAGGGAGCAAAGGGAGAAGCAGGCAGCCCAGTGAGGTCACCACTGGCCCAGGTGGAAGATGGTGGTGCTTAGGAGAGGGTGGGTGGAGGCTGTGGGGTGGCCAGAGAGATCAGATTAAGGTATGGCTGGAAGGCTGAAAACCTTCACTGATGGTCAGATGAGGAAGTTGAGGGGAAAAGTAGTCAAAGAAGACTCAGGGCTTTTTTGCGCATGGGGGGGAAAACCAGGGACTAAGGGCTATGTGTATTTTCTAATTTATCTGACCACTGTCACACCAATGTAGCCAAGGGGCACCAGCCCTGAAGGCCTTCCTCCAGCCTCCAAAACTCACCTGAATGCTTTAAAAGAAACACCTTAGTCTCCAGAATTCATACTTAATGAAGGATTTAGGAGAATTAAACAAGTAGCCAAATAATTATGTTAAATCCCCGGAAAAAATACAAAAGGAATGGCCAGTGTAAGGAGATTCGGTTACCCCAAGCAATCACCATTCTCCGGAAAAAGAACCTGATGGGCGATGTCAAGACATACACTGAGGCAAACTGGAGAGGCTAGGAAAAGGGAGCAGACTCAGGGTGGTAAGACGTGGCCCAGGGGGATCCTGGGAGCCAAGATGGGACCTGATAAGACACTGGCTTGAGAAAGGTCAGGCAGGGTGTGGCCATGCAGGCGAAGGCAGACATTATCCATTCTCCTTGGTGATCTGGTCCTGAAGGCCTTGATACTTTTATTTGTCTCCAGGGATTTTCTGTCCAAGCTTTCAGGAAACATACCCAACCCCATCCCCCACGACTTGAAAACTGATCCTTAAAAAGCCCAACGCTTAGACCCAAGACCTCCCAATCTGAGGCCTCGGTGCTCACTTTCAAGAAAATCACACTGGGGATCAGCCCAGTGAACAATCAAGTAGCCAGCCCATCACAAACGCCAGGACAGGGAGCCAGCTGGGCGACCAGGCTAACGGAGGTCCCCAGCCCTGAAGAACCGCGCGCGCACTCACACACTCGCTCAGGGCTGCCCCGTCTCCATGCAAATGAGCTCATGGGGCCACCCCCGAGGGTCAGAACCCTCAGCACGGAATCTGTGCTCTCCCCTCCCCGCCCCTGGGGCCGGTCAGTTTTCTTTCAGTTCCACCCTGGCCACCCATCGCTCTCCTTTCTTATACTAAGTAGGTCCTCCCGGCCCCCAGGCGTCCACTCCCCACCCTGCCCTGGGCTCTCGGGCTGGACACTCTTCCCACCTCCGGGCTCGGATTATGCCAGAGATTCCGACCGCCGTTACTGCAGTTTTGGTCGCGTCATCATTTTCCCGTGGGGGCGTCTTCCCCTTCTCCCCCCCCCACTCGCGTGGGACATTCCCCCCGCCGGTGTTCAGGACTGTAGAGTCCCCGGTGCAGAAGTTCGGGGACCACAATGTCCCCGCTGCAGACGTTGCAGGAGCGCTCCCGCCTCATGCCGCCACTCCAGCCCGGGCCAGGGAACATGTTCGAGATGCCCTCACTGCCATTACCCGGTACTCACCGAGGTCACCGGAGGCTGGCCCGCGCAACCGCGCCG